GGGGGGGAGGGGGGGGGGGGCGTACGCACTAAAGCGGGTCCAACATTACTAGTGATGATCATAGAGTAACTCATGAATCATCTTGAGCCCAAGTGCTTTTCATAATTACTATATACCCATTTTATCGCAAATAATTAAGCTAATAGCTGATTAACAGCATGCCGGTAAGTTGGTTGATTTGGGGCCACCCGAAACCCTGCATGCAACAATGACACTATACAACCCTACATAGGCCGTACAAACTCCTTTGCAAGTCTAATTGTGGAAGCCCCCGATCCCATTAGATAATCCAAAGGAGTTTTCCTAGCGTTCTTAAGTTTAGGCGATTAAGTTCTAATCCCCTCGCCCCTAATATTCAACGACCCCACTCCCCTCTGGCATTAAATCTTCACCACTATAGCATAATATAAAAAAAACCACAATGCACAAATTGAAATTAGGGGCAGGGTGGGTTTAATATTACGGGGAGGGGATTAGTCCAGCCAAGTGGCATTCCAGTAGTTAACCACCAGCATGTTCTCGCAGGCCTTGCGCCACCAAGGTCCGAAAACACTTCTGCAAGGCTCGGGGTCTAGAGTCTACATGTTTTGCAGCCCTTTCGAGCTTTTACGTCCGCTCGCTGAGCAAAAGGTTCTTGCTTAGACCCAGTAGTTTAAGACTTCGGGTTTTTTTTCATCCCCTCGGATTTTTAATGTCTGCCAGGCACGAAACGGGGATCTTGCCCCCAACTCAGAACACTTCAGCCAACCCTGGTTTCAGAAGGTGGCGTCACACTCCTTGTCCACGTTACACTCTACTGTCGGGATCAATACAGCTCACCGCAACGGCACCCTCCGGGCCCTCGTTCACATCCACACCCTCCAAACCCTCAGTCGCAACCAGCCCTGAACCCCATCATCACTGCTGGCCATGACGGCTTCGTCCCATGACACTTCTGACACCACAGGGCCAAATTCACAAGCAGGAACTGCCACGGCAACCTCGCAATTACTCTTCTCGCATGCCTCAGACTTCAATTGATCCTTCTCACTAGTGGCCGCTCCCGTCCCTTCCTCGAGCCCCGGTTTTTTCAACGGCGCCACCCCATGAGCAGCTCCTGCACATTTCCGTCTGACGCCCCTTCGCCTCACAGGGTCTCTTGGCCGCCCTCTCTTCTTCCTCATCATCTCCATCATCTCGCCCTCTGGGCCTTCCTTGTTGCATTGACACCGTCGTGTCATCCGGCCAAAAGGCTCTTTCACCATTCTGAGCCCTTTGTACTGCGTCATTCACTGCCACCACCAGCTCCATGCCCAAGACCGAAAGGTATGCCTGCAAACCAGCGGCCATTCGGATCGTCCCTGTCTGAGTCACCCTCCTCATCACTTGCCTGATTCTCGCTGCAATTGCCGGCGGCGCTACTTTGACTCCTGCGTCCACCACCGCCCCTGGTAGTTGATCACATTCAGCTTGTTCTCCCCCTAGACAAAAAAGGATTTCTCCCCACAGCAACACCGATCCCCTCCGAGGGGATCTCGCCAGAGGGTTATGCATGACCCGTGGCCGCTGTCTTGGAGGATGATGTTCATGTTCACAGGGCGTCCAAGTGTCGAACTGGAAGCCGGCTCATTTTTAGGCTCTCTTCTTTCTTCTTCCCTTTGATAGTCCCGACTTCTGCTCCTTCCTTCTTTTCTATCACGCCGACTGTGCTGCCTCCATGGTCTATTCCTTTCGTCCATCTTCCATTCTATGTTTGTGCCCCCCTTCGTCTTTCGATGTTTTATCCTAATATGATAGCCGCGGGTCGTGTAATCCGTGCTGTCCCGCTGGAGCATGCTGTCCTGCAAGTTGAGGCTCCCGTGCCCTTGTTGTAGTTCTCAACCCCATCGTATTTGCGTCATCTACAGCTGCTGCTCTTTCAACTCATTGGTGCCTCCACAACTTTGCAATAACTGGCCACGCCCCTTCCCTTTGCACTGAGGCCTGTTCAGTTCAGCTTCCACTGTTTTTCCGCCCACAACTCCCTCTTTACTCAAGCTCTCATCTGGCGGTTCTGCCGTTTCAAAGGCCGGCACCTTCATCAGTGGACCTCCGCAGTGTTGTGAACCTCGTACTCCAAGGCTGTCAGCAGGTGTTTCTCTTCCCGCCTGTTCGCCGCAGTAGTTGGCCAATCCCCTCACCCTCGTAGAATCTTTGTTATCCTTTGCCCTGGCTGTGAAGCTTTCACTCTCCTCATTGGTTTTTCTTCCGTCGTCCAGCGGTGCTCGCCTTTGAAACCCCCCGCCGTATGCCGAATCTCGTACTTCAAGGGGCTCCGCTGGTTCTTCTTCTCTTCCGCGTTGATGCCCCCTCAATGACGCAGAAGTTGGCCAGCCCTTGACATCGGCTTCCTCTCCCCAGATCGTTGTTCTTTGCCCGTCAATTTCACCCAAGCCTCGGTACCCAAAATCCACGTCGGCTCTAGCCCTTCCCGATGCGCTGAAACATGTGTTCCAGGGTCTTTAGGCGGTTCTTCGTTTCCCGCGCTTGTTGCAGCATCTGCAGTGGTGCAGTAGTTGGCCATGATGTCAATCGGATCGGGGCTCCTTCAAGATCAACTGCACCTATGTGCGACTGCATTCGATGAGGGTCTGTTTCTTCTCTTTGCTAGGGTGTAGTTGTCGCCGGACGAGTCCTGCAAGGGGGTTGCTGCATTCTGTCATCAGCCATCCGTGTTCAGACGATTCTTTGGAAAATGAAGAGGAGGTTGTCGAGGCTACCTATGGTAAGCACTCGCAGTTGATTCAAAGCTTGTCGAATCAACAGCTGCAGAAGGCATCCAGATTTCATGCCGAGCACATTTCGTGTTCAAAGCTCATGCCACGCATGCCCACACAACTTTCACCAACAACAATCAAGGGCAAACTGACTACTGCTGGACCATTGCACGTTCTGGCCAGAGCCCCTCGTTGCTGGCCCAATACTGCCGATCCATAGCCCTCCGTGCTCTCCTCGATCTCACGCTATAAATTTGGGAAATGCCTGCGTTTGTGTCTCTCTCTCCTGCTCAGCCCCTGTTGTTGTCTCCACCACCTTCAAGTCGGGAAGGTCGACATTACCACTGCACACCCCGGGTTGTCTGACTGCCCATGCATGGCCCTGTGACCAAGTGCCGGAAAGAAGCTTGTCGCGTTCCGCGCTACATACCCCTTGACTTGCCAGCCTGCAGCCTGCCCCTTGTCGCGCAGCATTCACGTCTTCCGCAAGACAAAAATCTTTGGGCATGTCGAATAACTCCGCCTCTGTTACATACCCTATGCAACGGTGTATGTAACGAAGGTGGGTGAACAGCCCTGTTAAAAGCCAATCGTTTTGGCACATGTCCATATACCTCTAGCTGAGCCTCACCATCGTCGAACTCCACCGCTCCTTACCCCGTTACTCCGTTTGTGTAGGGTTTGCCTAGCACCTCTATACGTTCCTTGCCGGTACTCCACAAAGGATTCGCCATCACCCCTTCTCCATCCCAACACGCTGATGACAAACTCCATGTGCAGCAGACTCAGCATTTTCAACTGGGATGCAATGTGCCAATTACCCATGACATACTTCCAAAGCAGACTCTGCACAGCATCCGAATTTTGCGTGCCATTTGCACTCTGGAGTGTAGGATTTTACCATCTGGGTCGAAAGGATTTTCTAGCTCTCTCCATCAAGGCCCCCAGGATTTCCGCCTGGGACCAATGGGCAACCCTATCAGAATCAGCGGTCCCCTTGGCCTGCGCATGGAGTGTGTGTCCCTGCTGCATAATGTGCTTTGCGCCAACTTCTCCAAAACAAGCAAATGAGCTCCTCTCAAGGTTGATGCGTAACATTGCGTAACCCCCACGCTCTCATTTCGTGTTGTATATAGAGTCGTTGCTTTTGCAACATGGCTGTTGCGCTGCTCCGTCAGACCCGATCATCCATGTACAATGTATGCCACCCTGGCATCATCATCCATGCTGGTACCCTTCATCTGTCGCAATATGAGATCCACCACCCAAGCAACTTTTCCAAGTCCACTGCACCCTGCTTGACCCCCAACCCTACCTCATAAGAGATTTCACCCCAGTCCGTCGGTATCACATGAGTTCCCGCCTCAAGCATCTGAAACATTGTGCACACTTCCCATGGGTATTGGGATGTATTGGGGCTACCATTTCTTGAATCAGCTTTATTGCAAGGGTCCTCCTGGCCCGAAACCCTGAACGACCCCCAAACCCTAAACTCGCAACAGCCGTCTTCCTTGAATGAGCGACGTTCTTCGAGCAACATACCAACCCTGAACATACTAACATGTGTTTGGGCAGTGAGCTCAAGCGAGAAGGCATAATGGAGGTATGTTTAGGGATATAGGGTTTAGGGGACACCTGCCTCTGGGAGTAAAGGGGGGCATCGAAGTGTCGGCCAGATGTTCTACTGCACATGTGAAATATGTGCAGGCCAATCATATACATCGCGCGTCCGACATATGGCGGCCTTGTCCAGGGTAATGTAGCAGGTTGAAGTTCCCCCAGCCTTGGTGCCAGACACATGGTTCAATACTAATAGAATATGACTTAGAGATGGCCAGGTCCTGGCTCAGAAGTAGACTTGGGACCCCTAGGTAGCCAGCTGTGCTTCTGCAACATGGTTCTCCCACTCTGTAGCTGTGCTCCACGCATCGAAGTTGCCAATGTTGCAGAGCTGACCAGTCTTGGGGTCGACCTAGCACGAAATCTGGAAAGGAGACCAGCATGGCACTGCCGCAGCTTGTAGCTTCACCCGTTTGTCGTGTTTGAGTTAGCCGGAAGCCCATGAAAATGCTGTACAGAAACCGTGTGGGTGCGCATCATGATCGCGTCGGCCCTGCCGAAAGGCGCCCAAGGAACACCCTGTTGCCCCTCAACTACCCAGCGCATCACCCACCCGCGTCCTTGCTCGTTCATTTCGTCCCCTGATGGACCCAGGAACTCTGATGCCCAGGCTCCTTGTCATCCCCTTCCCAAGGCCCCAACCCATGATGACTCCGCTGCAGCACTTCCTCCGCACTGACACAGACAGCCCGGCGAAGGGCGATGACAACTATTGGAGTGGTCAAATGCAAGGACTTTGTCGTGGCTGAGCTCGGGGACTATGCCTCGCAATGCTGTTTCGTGAGACATGGCCATGCTTGCACGAAACCCGCATGTTGCAAGACTGAAGCTCAAGCGCGTCATGTAACTTGCACTCTAGACCTGTCCTGGGCCCCTTGCACTCCAAGTGTCAATCTGACCATTCTCGGATACCGACTCCGTGCCTGCCAATCGCCGCAAGTGATGCTGCCCTTTGGCTCCACTCATCTGAGTGTCCCGTTGTCAAACTGATGCAATCTACTTGAATTAGGCGTCATGTTCCTCTCACCACTTGTTCGAGAAAATCCCACTCACTCACTGTGATACAGGCTCTCAAGCTGCAGCTCTTGGCAGAAGAGCTCTCAGCGCGCGGCAGGTGTACATGACGTTAAGCCTTGCAATGTTGCTTGCGGAGTTTGTCTTGCCATGACTCTTGGTTGAAAGCTGGGTACCCGCATATAACTCACGGGCCCATGGGCAACGCATCGAAGCTTAGTGCAAACTGCCTCGGATGCCAGCGAGAGAAGGCAGGGTTCATGCAGTCTTCCTGCGCAGTGCTGACTTCTAACAAAGCACAGGCTTGCAAGAGCGCAACTGCTGATACAAAAACAGACATTGACCCTGTCACTGCTTTATTATAACAGCTTTCATTGCTAGTGTCACAACAGTCAGGCCTTGACAACAGACAGCAGCACAAGCTGGCCATCGCTGGTGTCCATCCAGAAGGTGTAGAGACTGCAGCGAAGCAGCGAATTCTTAAAGAAACCCCAGGCAAACCCAATATAGACCCCAATATACGGACGCCCAAAAAATGCTTGCAGTGGCAGTAACAGCAGCATCAGCATGAGGACCAGGAGGACGAGAAGTCACAGCACCAGCAGCCAGCAGCAACACTTAGGTAGTTGAGATGGCAGGATTCGGAACGCTCGTATCTGCAAGACGAATGGCTGAAGCGAACTGGAAGCTCAGGCCTTCCTTGGCAGTTTCTCCCTACTCGCTCGGCCTTTGGGCTTGGATTCCAGATTTAGAGTGGACGTCAACCCACTATAACCAGGTCGCGAATCGTCCACTGGAAGGTGGTGGCCTGGGCCGCTCCCAACGACTCCCGATCCACTGGCGCGTCTCGCCTTCACTAGCTGGCTGACGATCCTTTATGGTGGCAGCTGCACAGGTGCCGCCCGCGACAGTTTGCTTCGTCCAGGCACGTGGTTGTCAAGGCAATCTGAGCTAAAACTTTGACATAGGCAGCTTTGCGGTGGCCAGGTTGGTGGTGACTTTCTACTCTGCCTTCGTGGCCTACACGTTTTCTCCTTGCGTGTCGCTGCTGCTGGAGTTGCCTTGCTGAGCAGACTTCCGCATCGCGTCTTGCTTTGGTTTGATGGACTGAGCTCGAACTGTTGGCTGAAAGTAGGGAACGGCTTTCATATCAGCCAACTTCGGAAACGACGAAGTTCTACACCAGCTGAGCTAAAAGCAAGCAAGCGATCTGCTACTCAGCTTGAGCTTCTTGTCGATCGATTGCAGAGCACACAGACTTGACCCCATAGGTGCCTCTTCTTGGCCTCTCTCCCCCGGGGACCATGTGCTAGGTTATCAAAACCTCACTGCGGTTTTCTCTCGCCAGGTCAAAGAACTGCAAGCTAACCTCTTTTGAGGCCCAGACGCGTGTAGCATGAGATGACTATCAACTGGTGCCGCCGGCTTGTTGCAAAAGCCTCATCACCAATATGGCAAGATGTGGCAGGTACTGTATGGTCGGTGGCAGGATCATCGCCGAAATGAAGCACTGGAGAGCAAACACTGGCCGCCGTCGCAAACAGCTATGCCAACTAACTCCGTAGGCAACCATGAACGTTGCAACACTGACATGCAGACCCTATAATGGTTCACTCCGAAGTAGGACCCGCACGGTGACAGGCGCGAGATTGTCTGCCATGGCTCAGGTGGCAAAGGCCGTGTGGGCTCTGTTTGTATACTGATGGCTTCAAACCTGATTGATCTCCTTCCTTAGGCTCGAGCATGTCCTGGCTCTATGACTGATCCACCAATTCAGCCTTGGAGGTGTATTGGAAATCTCTCGACAGCATGGCGTGCAAGGCTGCATCCGGATACGTGCTTGCAGGCAGGCACAACTGCATCAAACTTGTCTGCGGCAGACCAGGCATGTTCTGACTCAGGCACGTTGCAGGGACTTGTTTTCGGCATCCGCCGCTGGTCTTCCCACACCGCTGTACCTCGCAGTATCTCGCAGTCAGCTCAGCGCTGTTGAAGCAAACGCAGAAAGTTTCAGCACACGCAGCTTACCTCGTCGACTTGGCTGAGCATACTGGTTCTTACAGTTGCGGCTCTTTTTTTTCCTCTATTGCCTCATGGCACTCGCATCATGGCTCTGGGTCTGTGTTGTCCGTGGCCAGAGATGTCAGAGCCCTCGAGGAAAATCGTAATCAACGATGCGCATCCGCCCTAACTGCCACTTGGGTTCTCACAGCCAGCCCCCTTAGGCTGATAGCAAGAAATACAGTGCGGATTGCAACGTGTGCCCTGCTTGACTGCGCAACTTTTGAGCAGGGCAGGGGTGAAACTGAGTCCATCGCTAGTGGCAAGTTGCTGAAGGGCAACAGGATCAGTTCTTCTGAAAATGAAAGGGCAAACTTGCCAACTTTAGAAAATGCGAACCTGGCGGCTGGGCACGACCCACATCTGCTGCTAGAAGATCCGTACTGACTTCTGCAAAGGGAGCGCATTCCCCACATATCTTTCCAACCTAACTGCGCACTGGCTTTGCGCTTTGATGGATGCACATCCCCTCGGTTCACATGCCTGGTTGCAGCTGACAAGTTGGCTCGAAAAGCCAGCCGCGCTCTGTACAAGCGACTTCGAGTTCCGGCCTATATGGACCGAGCCTGCATAAGTCGTTCGCCCAGCTCCGGCTTCATGAGATGGGTTTATAGTCTGGGGGGGCGTTCTTGTGTTCAGGTGCTGGGCTGAAGTTGGAGAGCCTTTCAGCCTGCAAGCAAGATTCCATCTGCATCTACAACCCTACATCCTACTCAGCAAAAGCGGCCTGCTCAGTTGGCGAAGCAGGTCAAACCTCATCTGCCCATGAGAGCATAGCAACGCATTAGGAGTCTTTCGTACTACTTTGTAGCTCGTAGACTCCCGATATCCGGAACCCTGAGCAGTACAAGCTCTGGTTCACAATGTACGTCCACACCCATCTCAGAGGTCTGCACGGCTTCTTCATAGCCATCTCAAATTTTTGTAAGCGTGGCGTTCCCTTTAGGGATGTGTGCGGTTGACCTTCTGGTCAGCTCATGCATAAGACGATCTGATCGCAATGGCGACCTTTCCGACTGCTGAGGTGCTTGCCAAAGTTGTCACCTTTCCGGCCTGGGCTGGCGCAAGCTTGCTTGGTCGTTTGTCAGCCATAACGCTGAAACTGAAAAGTGTCAAAGTCACTACAGGTTCTTTGGCATGAGCACTCTGAGTGCAGCTGCGAGTTTATGTAAAGGATGAGATGCTAAAAATGATAAGACATAGGAATGGTAGCAATAAACATTGATAGCACTGCGTTCACGCCTCACCCGCTCCAGAGCCCCAAGCATCTGCTGGCCAGCAAAGGCGTTCATGGGATACTGCCTGTCAGGTGCACGCACTACGGACTGCAAGCTGGAGGGGAATGTACGCTCTCGGAAGTTTGGATCTTGGACCGAGCCACACATTGAAAAAACGTGTCAACAAGTACCTATACCACCGCACCATACACGAAGACTTCCCTTCCAATGCTTCAGAAAGGTTTCTGCGAGTAAGTGCTCGACTGATGGTACTGTACTCCCTTGAAAGCCCTTCCGAATCATGATGCCTAGAGCCTTTTCCTCAACCTTCACCCTGAAGATCCCGGCCCGGTCTGCTGAAGATCGAGTGCGCCGACCGTAGACTCTGAGGCCAGAGGAACCTGCCACCATAGGCTTCGGGGATCATTGAGGGCTACCATTCCGAGTCTAGGCTTGAGTTTTGAAAAGTCATAACAGTCACAACTGATGGAGATGGGTCAAAGTTGCGCTCCCATCTTAGGGGAGTTCTTGTACATGGGGGGATGGAAGTCTCTGCATCGAAGTTCGAGCTGCAAGCAAGAACTTGAACTTTCATGATATCGAGCTCGCATACTGTGCGCTTTCGGACACTGCACAGCTCCAACAAGGAGCAATGTATCGACCCAAAAGCAAACCCTAAAACCCAGAAGCCCCTTAGGCCTCTGGAACATCTTGGATCTCGCCGCGGGCGCCTGTGGCCTCCAAGAGCGCAGCAATCTTTTTCGCGAGGGTCTGAAGCTTCAAAGTCGCAAAGGTGTATAGGGGAGTGGGGTATGCGGTTTGCTGGGCCTTCCTCTGGCGGAGGTGAAATATGCCTCTTTGGTCAGGATCGCGATTCCCAGGGCAGGGGAAGGTCATCCCTCGGGAGGAGGGGGCGATTTGCAGCCCGAGCACACACATGCCTGAACTCTACCCGGTGCCATGCTAAGGTCCAACTCCTCTCCAACCCTGTGTCTCGGCGCGGACGTTTGCTCATTATCTCGGGTACTCGCTTCCAAGGGACTACAGACGCGCGGGATTCTGACTGCCCAACATCACCTGATGAGGACATTTTTGAGATTGAATGCTGGCTCCTGTGACAACAAATATATTGATGCTGTCTCCATCATCGTACACGATGATTGGAGGCATGATCAATGGCGTTGTTGACCACAGCTGAGTCAAAGTCTCAGTGCTCGGGATTGTTCCTGCTTATTTGTTACTCGTGTAACCCCATAAACCTAACTACCTTGGTTCTTACCATTCATCTGGCCCATTCTGATCATCACGAAGAGAGTAACCCACGAATCCTGCGTTCCCAACTCTCAACCCTCGCCTGCCCCGCGCGAAACTTCATGTAGTCTGCACGGAAGGCTTGCAGCTCAGTCAGCTCGATGTCCTTCGGAACTATCCGTTTGGGTATGCGTCGAATCTGCACATTTTCAAAACTATTAGGGCCCTCACTGTAGGCATCGAACCCCTGAAGAAACGATCCTAGAGAGTGGCAAGGGGCATGGGCAGTTCTGAGTAGCCAGAGCCAGGACACGGGTCCTGTGTACTTCGGCCAGCTCAGTACCAATCTTCAGCCTTCTACAATCCCACTTATATCACATGTCTCCTACCAGAACTGGGAGTTCAAAGGCCCTCAGGGAGTGCAGCCCTGCTCACCGTCGTGAGACAATCTCTCAAGCAACACCTGGCATGATGTTGTCATGCTTGCGCAAGGCTGATAACCTGACATGAGCTTGGGTTATTGACTTCATCCTGACCTCTGAAGCCTGTGCTCGAATGTGTAATTGCTGAGGCCTTGAGAGTCTATGCGTCTCGCTTTAGGTAGATCTGCTGGCGCCTCACTGAACTGGGAGCACCGGAACTAGCCTGCTGAGGAGATTTGGGGGCTCAGAAGATTGGAAAAACAGTACCCCTCAAGGAGGATATTATTTTGCTCTACACGGGTTTACAGTCCAACAGGACATTGCGCGTCTCTTTGAGACTTGGATGGCTTTCCGTAGAAACAGCAGTTTAGTCCCCATATCAAATACTACTCTCATGAGATTGGCCTTTTGAACCATCCCGACCTGTCCTTGGGCAAGAACTGGAGTGGCGGCCCCAGCCCTTCCTGCAAAGGGAGCACTGCTAACTGACTTGCAAGAAACCCAACACAACCCCACCAAAGTCTGAGCTGAAGCCTCTCAAGTCTCTGCACAAGCCAGCCAAAAGCCAGCCTCCGATGCCCAGGGCCCTGAGGAAGACTGGAGCGGATCTTCCTCCTGCTAGGAAAGGCAGCAGGTGACAGGAATCTGGGAGGTAGACTCGTCGCAGACGCCGCGGCCCAGCTTGGAGCGAGATCTGATACGTCACAACAACGGGCATTTTGATAGTTGGATGGAGAAACCTGAAGTTGCACCTCAATCAAATCCCGTGGTGTAACTCCTGCTCTTCCGGCTCGTCAATGTGGAGGAAGGTGTTCTTGACGGAGTAGACCACCTTGTTCTCACCTCGCCTGAATGGGGCTCTACAGAATCGAGGGGTCATCCAGTCTTATTTGGCCCCTGCCAACAGTACAGGGCCAACATCACGCCAAGGCTTGCTCAGTATCCGATCTCCTTCAACACCCCAATACACTCTTTCTTGAATCTCTATTCTCTATACAATCCCCTCTCTCTGATCTTTCCCTACCCTTCAAGTTGCTGTCCAGGTCACGCCCCAGTGTCCGCTGCTTGAGACTCTGCATTCGGCCTGCAGGCAAGGGCTGGTACCTTGTGTCCCCCAAAAGAACATGGAACCCCACATGCGTCCCGTTGAGGGCAAGAGTCCTTGTTGCAGTGCCAAGCTTCTCCGGAGAATGAAAAGAAACCAGACTACAACTCTCCGTTGGGTCCAATTTGGCTCTGAAGCACTGCTTCATAGGCTAACCGCTGGCAACTTTCTCTCTGTATGTCCGTAGTGCCCCCTACCTGCATAGTCGGGTAGATAATGCTACCACACCAGAGACTTTGAGAGATTGCCCACCAAAGCCATTCACGTCTCTGCATTTGGCCCAAGCTGCCTGTTTGCAGACTCGCCGGCTTGGCTTGGGCCCATTGGCGCCCCCTGCACTGTCAGGGGCGTGAACTTGCAGCTGGGGAATTTAGAAGCTTTGCGCCGACTATGAATCAGGAAAGTGCAAGCTTGCAAAGGAAAAGCTAGAAGAACGCTCTTGCAGGCCAACCCTTGGCATGAGTCCATCGTCTGCGGCTTCTGTTCTTGCTGCCTCAGATCTAGACTTCGACGGCACAGACCCCAACTGCAAAGGCGGGCCTGCGTGTGAGGGGCCGGGCGCATGCCCGGGTCACCCTGGCGGCTTAAGGTCATCAAAATATGAAAGTCAAGTCGAACCAAGGACTTTGACTAACAAAAGGCATCTCCCTACTTAGGTGGCGTGAATGAACCGTCTCTCTCATCAGCAATTTACGCAGGACTCTTCAGCTTTCTTCTCCCTATATTGAAGGTTACCACATGGTTCCGCATGCGAGTTGGCCGAGGCCTGGCCAGGATAGCCGCAGGGGAACGGCGGAGGCACCATGCCTGGACTAAAGCAACGATTATGTTGCGCTTACGACTTTGGATTCTGCTTTGTCTGGGGCTTTAGTTCAGGCTTCATGGCTTTGGGGTTGGCGTCACAGTCACAGCCTCTGCTGTACACATTTATGGTTGAGTTGGCTTGGCCTTCACAAAAGATCTGACCGGTGGTGCCTGCTTGCTGGCCGGGTGCGAACCAACCCGGGAAGGCCTCAGCATGCTGACATGTTGCTAACCCCTGACATTCGGGCAGCTCGGACAAGCGACAATCAGATGAGTCAGAAGTCATATAGGAGGTCATTTGGAGGTTTTGCTGGCCCCATTAACACTTTAATAGCTGACGGTTAAACCATGCGGTACAGTTTTACCGCATGGTGAAGGGGCAAATCTGAAAGTGGCAATGCCTTGCGCGCAAATTTGAGAAAAGAAGACGGCAGGTCAGGAGGCACGCAGCTTTTGTCGACCTAAACAAATGGCTGCATCCCTTGAAGAACAGCTGAGGCCAGCTCAGGTCCTACATCGGGCCTGGCACGCAAAGCCGGTGCTTGCTTCTGGACGTGGCGGCTGAGGTTTCATACAACTCAGACCCCATAACATGTCCCACAAAATAAGAGGGGCGTCTGGTCAGAGGCCTGGCAGAAAACACGTTGTCTACACTGAGACGCACAATCTGGAGACAGCAGAGGGGTTGCAACGCTTCAACAAATTGTGAAGAATGGTGTGCGCATGGGACACCTGAACACGAACCATAACTAGTCGTCTTCCGCTCCTTCCCATTGACACGGCACTCCTACAAGCAGCCTCTTAATCATTGGAGAACTGGCCACATAGTCATAGTCCGACCAAGAAAGAAAGCTACAGTAAACCTCATATGAAACATTATTACCATTATCACAACTGTAGTTATCTGCAGGGTTCCGCCTTGGTGGTTCATGGCCTGCCGGCCAGGCACCCATGTTCCCCGCAGGGGGGACGAAAACACCTCGATGGCTAGTGGCTTCTCCAAAATGAGACCCCGAGACCATAAACCCTGAAACCCTACATGATTCATTGACACGGCGTAAGATCGGGAATTCCAAAAACCTATTTAATTTCAGCGAGGTCGAGGTGTGAGGTGGTTGCTGGTGATATAGGGGATTTGGAGCTGAGTCTCTTAGAGCTGTCTGAAACCACCATCCCGTGTTCCACACGTTGAGAACGATGGCATGCAGAGTGCCACGCGCTACTTGAATCCATCACCTTGAGAGCCTCAACAGAACGATTCAGAGTCTCTTCGCTGGGAGTGGTAAGAGCGAACAGAATCCTGCGGCCCGCCCTCCCTGGTAAAATCCTTTGCTCATCTCACTTCCCCGGAGCCCCTGTCAAGGCTCACGGGTACAGGCCTTAAATAGAATCATGCGCATGTTTGAGGGTACTTCTAGCCATAGTCAGGACTACCCATGACATCCCATGAACCTCTAAGATCCACTAATCCTAAATCCTAAATTCTAAGCCCTAAACCCAAAAGAGTAGTTTCCATTTTCTTTTCCATTACCCCAATATGTAACCCCATGAAATCCCATGAACGTCTAAGATCCCGACCAGCTTGAAAGGTGGCAGCAGGCGGCGGTGCGCTGCTCGGGGCGGAGGGCATCCGTTTTGGTGCCTCTCGGAACAGCAGCAGCCAGCATAGTAGAAGGTTGCAGTTGCAAAATAGTAGCAATCCTTTCCCCCTAATATTCAAGGGGTTCCACCCTCTAGTGTATCTTTTCCGAACCGTATCTAATGTTAAGGGGGTTATCCATCGTGGGACCGGAATATGAAAGGGGTACAGTAGTATGTAATAGGATCCGATCGAAATCCTAATTAAAACCAAATAAACAATCGCTTAGCTTGAACAAAAAACACGAGTAAATCTAATCAAAATCGGAATAAAATCCATTAAAACCAGCTTAATTGAAATCGAGCAAGACCGTAATCAAGCCAATTAAAATCTACTTAAGTTCTGTTTAAAATCTAATTAACATCGAATTAACATCCGATCGACATTTAAGTAGAACGCAATTGAAATCTAATGCAAGCCTAATTAGAATCCAAATAATACGATTTAGAATCTACAATCGCATGAAACCCAAATAAAATTGCACTCAGGGTTGGGAATGGTTTGTATGGGTGGAGATTTATTGGTGTAAACCATTCCAAGACAACCGAAATCTAGGAAATCAAGGAGATA